TATATATATATATATATATATATATTTTAACTATTTCTCTTCCTTTGTTCTTCCTCACATTTCTCCATATATGTATAAAAGAAAAAAAATTAATGTACCAATATTTTTATGATGCTCAATTCATCATTTGACGTTTATGTTTTTCCTCTGAATTTCTTCTAGCATGACATAATTTCTGATGAAGATTCGCAGTTTCTTGACGAATTCGATCTAAATCTAAACAAAGTTGTTGATACTCTTGCAAAGGTAAACATTTCTTTGTGACGTATTAGTCAAAACTATATTAAAAAACACAAGTACATCATTATTGAATATATACATATACATAAAAGGAAAAATAGAATATACATCACAATATAGCCTTGTCTGGACAGATTTAATTATATATGCCTTTGATAATCATAAGACTTTTTATTTTTAAATGGCTACCTTGTGTAGTGATGACATTTAAATATGCGAAAAGCAAGTGATTTATACAAACCTTCATTTAGTTTGTTACTTGCGAAGAATGATGTCATGTTCCATAAGTATATGTATATGTATATATATATATATATATATATATATATATATATATGTGTGTGTTAAAGTTGTGATATAAAAGTAAATAGCGTATTGATATTTGGCAAATGAGAAAACTTTTATGAAAACAACATTTTTATGCGAAAGGTAACGACCGTTTACATTTTATGTAGTCAATTATCCTTCATTTCTACCAAACAGTTAAATTGAAACTTTCTAGTTAATTATACATATTCCTATATGTGTTAAAGAGAAATTTTGAACATAATTTAAAAGATATTTAGAATTTTCACGTATTCGATCTGAGAGTACTAAATTATAAATTGTATCAACATTTATTCTATTTAGACGCTCAACTACTGCTGGATAATAATTGAAAAGCAGTTGCACGAAGATTTGCGGATAACAAATAAGATAAATAAAGAGAAAAAAAAACGAGATAATGACACAGGAGTTATTACACAGTTTGCCAGAAACGCCTTTTAAACATAAGCCCGAAATACGTAATGAATTAATAACAGACTTGAAAAGAGCGATAATTAATGATAAATACTTGCAACAATCTGAAATTGAGGTATATTAATAGAATTTTTATAAATTCTCTTGCTTCTTGCTATTATTATACAAAATCAATGTTTTCTATTACGAAAAAAAACTTGTAGGAAAAGGTCGATGCTCTTTGTAAATGGATGTGTACAACACCTAAAAAAAGCATTTATAGATTAGATCGTTTTACAAATTGCTATACAAATGATTTGGACAGTTTATATAAAGCATTGAAACAGGTATGTCGAACAAAGTAAATTTTCTTTAACGATAATTATGATATTTTAATCGTTTTAATAGCGGTACCGTGTTTCGCTATAATGTAAGAAGCAGTGATACATTGCAATTGTTTTCGAAATTGTTTACACAAATTATATTTAAATTTAAATACCTCGCGCGCGCACGCGCGTGTGTGTGCGTAATCTCTATACATTGGGACATGTTATTCAGAATAAGTTATTCTCTTTAAGTTCTTGTAATTTCGAAAGAAAATTGTAATTTGTCTTTTGTCCTGGATATATTTCAACATTTCTACCATTGTATGTACATACATAGAGATACTTTTTTACAAGAAAATTTTACATGTGCAATGTATTATGTTAGGATGACAAACCAAATCCATGTATTCACTTCTTACCGGATCTTTCAAATGGAATAGTTGCAGTCGATAGTTGGGATTTATCAGTATCTCTTGATTTAAAGAGATATCCAGATGAAATTATCGTTGATGCTATATGTGGTGCCGCTGTATTAAGGGGATCTCATGTTTATGCGCCTGGTGTTATTGGAATGCCACATGGTGAAATCTTTGTGCATATAGAACTCTCTCTATAATTATCTGTGAGAGAAACGTGTAATTAAATTTGTCAAATTAATTATAGGTTTAAGTATTAATAGTAAAATCAGTGTATTTGCTGATGTTACTGGTCAATGTAAGAAAGGTTTGATTAAACCATATGCAAATAGCAATAAGATATATTTAGGTAATGGCGTTCTTCGACAAACAAGGAAAGAATTATTTTGTGAAGCAGCTAAAAATCCACGGTATTGAACAATTTTCAATATATATATATATATATATATAAATAATTAAAACTTTGATACGTGGTTACTTCTGTTACCAAACTCTTACACCTTGAATTATTTTCCGTGCTTTTCAGTGGTGTTGCAATAATTATGACTGATGTAATTTCACGAATTCCACAATTGAATGTAAATAATGAATCTTTGAGACCACATGCATTATTACAAAATTTGCCCTCTATTGTGTGTAGTCTGGTTTTAAATCCCCAACCAGATGAAACTATCCTGGATATGTGTGCTGCACCTGGTAACAAAACCACACATATTTCTCTACTTATGAAAGGACAGGTATACATGTTTAAAAAGAAAAGAATTTATTTGTTATACAGCGCACAATAATGTCCACTATTCTTTTTAGCCAACTATTGTACACTTTCTGTTTAAATTGACACAAGCGTATATTCCTATTTTTTTTCTGTGAATGTTAAAAAAAAAAAGTAAAATAGTTATGTAGATAATATGCTTTCACTGACTAATGAGTTTAATTATTTGTTTTGATATAATTTCTAGGGTACAATAATAGCTCTGGACAAAAATCCAGGTAAAGTGATACGATTTAAGGAGAAGTGTAATGACAAAAACATTAAAATATTTTGTTACGACGCTACAAAGGCTGTCATCGAACGAGAGCACACTTTTGTTCATTCCGATGGACCTCCATTCGAAGAAAATTATTTCGATCGTATTCTCTTAGATACTCCATGCAGCGCGTTAGGTCAAAGACCGCAATTATATAATACAATCACATCGGCACAACTTCGTTCTTACGTTCCCTTGCAGCGAAATCTCCTTTCTACTGTAAGTAAACAAATTATTTGCTATACAAATATGTGCCTGCGCGATATACCTCTATATATATATATAGATATATATA